TATTCAATGAAGTATTAATTGCAGATTTTAAAATGTATTATAAAAAAATAGGGAGAATTATTTCAGCCTCAAAAACATTTTATTCCAAGATAAAATCATGTCTAATTGCCAAATTGTAATATACTGACAATAACAATGATTTTGGAATGTATTATGCAAGGCTTCTAGAAAAATGTATATAAAACACTCAAATGGAGATTCAGTAATCAAAACTAAAAGTGGTTCTTCATGTTAAAGTTTTGTCAAACAACGATTTTTAATCACTAACCAAAAAAAAAAATAATTAATTTTGGTATAACACTTGGAATTATCAAAGTATAATTACTGCCTAGACTTACATCGAAAAGTGGTACATGCAGAACCTACTTTGGTTTTGGTTTAATATTCTCCATTTCAGTTTATTTTACTTTAAAACATTTTAGTGAGCACCAAGGCATCGATAAGAAATAAATTCTCCGAAACCACCGTATGTATTTCTTGTAATGACAATTCTTTGTCAATTCAAATATTAAAAGGACTTTAAAAAGTATCAATAACCCTATAGACAGTTTCTTGGCCTAATAAATCGCTCAAATCACTTGTTTCGTTTTGAAAATCGATTATTACTTTATACAGATTTGGAAGCTGAAACTATTGAGATAAAAGGTCTACCTCTAAAAATTATTCAATAAATAAAAGTTATTCATGTTAAGTCCTTTACACATGTCGTGAGTCATCTTTTAAAAACTTGTGAATTATTACGACAATAATCGAAAAAGGTCCATTTTATTAGAGATTAGATTGTCTTTTCAACTTGGTAATATAAATTAAATGTATATAATGATTATTTTAACTAAATATACATATAAATATACGTCTTTGCCATATCTTTTAATCATTTTTAATCTATTTCTAAATTTTCAAAAGATATTCTTTATTACTAGTTTGTTTATACACTGTATGTGAGACATAAAATATTTTATTCTTATATGCCATTACTTACATTTACAGCTCTTATACGTATTGCAAATGAATGTATAATAAATATTCTATTATATAATTGTTGTTTTATTTCAAATAATGCATTTTCTGTTTCGAATACCTAAAAAAAACCAGACATTCGAAACTGCATCCCGATTACAACGAAACTGCATCTGTGGTGCAAATTTTATTACTACTAACATTCTACGAAAATTTAACCAGTGTTGTCAAATGTAATTTTTAATAGTAGGTACCTACCTAGAAAGTAAGAGAAACATACATAAAAGGTACTTTATTGAACCCTTACCAGAAAAATTTTAGAAAATGGGACATGCATATAACAGAATTATTGGAAGATATATTTTTATATACTGGTTATTCTAGTAATAATTAACATAATTGTTTTGTGATGAGGTTATTTGGATAAAACTAACTTAAATTACCAAATGGACTTTTAATTAGCTTTAGTTCCAGGTATAAACGGATTATCTATGCGGTGGGATTTTAAAAATGACAAGGGAAGACCTTTTATACCTACTATCACCAAATATTATTAATTTTAGTTCATCTTTGTGTTGGTGTTTTTGTGCAATTTTTAATAATGGAAGCAACATATTGTTTAAGTGAGAGAGACATGCCATTAGGCAAGGCGGAAATTGACGACGCAGCGCGACCTATCACCACACAGCTCACAGACGTGTCACCCAGTAGTTCAGACACAGTTTCCCGTACTACGCGTGTGGGTGACTTTGTTTACAAGTGTTTTCCTTGTTTTTTTTACGAAAAAATTACAGAAGAAAAGTTAATAGAGGCAGCAAAAAATATTAATTACCCAGACAGCACACCAAATCCTTTGGATATCTACTGGACATCCCAATATCCATTGAATGTCCAGTCCATGGTGGATATCTATTATATATCCATGAGATGTAATTTATAGACATGCAAATGTCCATAAATAATAGTAATTATATAACAAACTATTAAAAAATTACGCCATTATGACTAATAGTACACTGTTTAAATATTTAAAATTAAATTTTTTAAGGTGTATTCAATATCCCATTGAAATCCACTAAATATATCAGTCTAGGCGCGAAACCATGGTGGATATCCACTAGATATAATTTATGGATATAATATGTACCTAAATATCGAAAAATATGTGAATTGATTTAATAATTATTAAATTACTTAAATATATTACGCCCTATGGTTTATAGAAATTTAAAATTAGTAAGTTGTATTCAATATCCCACAGATATCCGCTAGATAAATAATATTGGCAATGAACGCGAGCGCAAGCGCGGATTTTTTCTGCCCTTACAAGTGCCATCGGCCATTTTATAGTTTGTTTTCGTTTCGTTTGTGTCGTGTGCATGAGTTTCATTTGATAATTTTTAATTAAAAGCTAAAAGTAAGCTTAAAAACCTAAATTTATTAGTGTAAAAGGTTGATAGACTTTAGATAGATAATAGTTAAATTCACGTTATTAAGATTTTTAAGTAAGTTGTATGCAATGTACGTTAAAATCCGTGTCCTTTTTAGGTAATTCACAACTAGAAATTCATGGATTTTTAACTATATACTATTTTATTACAATTAAGATGGACGTTACTTTACCTACCTTCTTAAACCTACTTATTTCGTGTGATTATTATTGTTTCGGTTTGGTTTTTATTGTTTAATGGTTGTTATAATTAATTAGAAAGATATATTTTTTTCACTGGTTAAAGAAATATTATTACATCTGCCTTGTATTCAATAGCATGCATGAATAATTTAACAAGTAAGATTAGGTTATGTTTAGCTGGACCAACAGTTTAGATAAATAAGTATAATATATACACAGATCCATCCCTTTTAAAATTATTAGTTATGGTTATGTATTATATAAGTAACACTCTGCACAAAAGGCTTCTTTCAGACTTCAATTTCGTTTTGGGTATAGCTTGATTTAAAATATAGTTTCACTTTTTGAGGAATTCTAGAACAGAGCGTCTCTTTTTATCAGGAAGAATGAATAAGATTTATTTGTAAGTAGCTTATATGTTAGATACCTCGTGTGTTGCATTCAATTTAAAACTTACTTCATATATTCAATGATATTTTTGTGGTTTTTTTAGGTAAGGTGTACAATATTTAATTGTAAAAATAAAATGTTGATACTCTTTCTACTCTACATGCTATACCTGTGCTATGTAGCATTAAAAATAGTTAACACTAGAATAGTGTATGGGTGTATATACCAAATTTAAAATACAGGGCATTCCGATGTTATGCCATATTAGATCCAATGGATATCTATGATATTCTGTGGATATCTCTGGGATTTCGTGTATTGTCTGGGAGATACCCATTACATATTTTGCTGGATATCCATAGAGTATCTTCTATATCCTGGATATAGACGGATATTTGGATATCCATATTAGATCCACTGGTTATCTATGATATCCTGTGGATATATCGGATATTCACAAAAAATATTCTGTGGATATCTCTGGGATTTGGTGTGTTGTTCTGGGTACTAATATAGGTTGCACGAGATGAAGTGTTTTCTAAATGTTTTTTTGATAAAACATCACCACTTTCTATTCTAAATTTAATTCATTCACGAAAGTTACCTTCATTATTTACAAGAATATCCTCATATTCAGAAGAACCTTCGGAAACGACAAGAGATCCTCGATCTCTATGACCTCTAAAAGGAATATTTTGTTGCCCCAAAAATATTACTGACTGGATAATGGATTTCAATCTAAGTTTATTTTCTAAAACCTGCCTTTGTCTTTCTTGATCTAACGTATTTCTTATATCTATCTCTGGGTTTTCATAAGTTTTATCAAAATTATGTCCCTCTGTAACAGCTTTACTATGATATACCGATTTATCGTGTATTATCAAATCGCCATTTTTTCCGAATGGTTTGGAATACTTATTTAGGGGAGTGGTAACAAGACGTCTCCCAACTTAGTTGACTAATATATACCACCAACTTTTGAAAAAATAACGCAAAATTTACTAAATATCCCCTCTAGACCTTGCGAATATGTTAGCCAAGAAAAAGTGTCAAAATGTCGTTTTTATAAAAAGCATTTAATATCTTTATCATTTTTTCTGTGAATTGAAAACGGGTACGTAAAATTTTGTTCCGGAACCTAATATTTTTCCTGCAATGTAATCATTTTAGATGTATTAACAAAAGGGGCAATGTCTATCGATTTTTTATAATCATGTAAAATATTAAAAGTTGCATTGGCAACGTTGTTGTCATTGCTGCTATCGGCGCAAGTTTCGGCGGTTTGTTTACCCATACTCGGAACTCGAACCCGCTTCCTTAGAGGATTCCCCGACTGGTGATAAATTTACGACTTCCGAGGTTATTGTTTGTCTCCTATTTTGTTTTGGTTTTAACAAATAATTATCTAAATTATTCTGGTTTCTCTTACTCATTTTGGATATAATCACATAAACTTAAATCTGAATTACTAAAGTTCATAAAAATACCTGTAAAGTAAAACCCTGTATTTGAGCGCTGCACCTGCGAAATTTTCTCGCAACCCTAATTTAAATGTTTGATTATTTTGAAAAATATAGCCCGGTTTCTTTAAAAAGTTATATTATTTTTATTTTTTAGATTGGATATATCCTAATATAATTTTAAATAATTTTCCTTATTTTTCAAATAGTTTCATTTCGATATCTTTTGCCTTTTCGATACTTTTGAAATTCGATTAAAATGTTTTCGATCAACTATTATTCGAACAAAAACATTTGAATAATTGTCAATTGTCCCTCATTTACTTACGAAAAACTTGTAGAATATCTCCTTCCATTTCTTACCTCCTTGGTTCATATATTTGTGACATCACAAACACAAATAAGGTGTAAAGGACCATATCATTGGTTTGTCAGAAATCTTATTATTTCAAACCAAAAACTTCTGAATATTATCTTTATTTTAATTTTGCTCAGTACGAAAATGTAGGTGAATATTATTGCTAATTGCTTTAAATTAAATAAAACAAAAACAACGTGATACCTTTTTATATATTTAAACAAAAACAACATTATAACTAAATCTAATATCACACTTTTAATGGCAATATGGCGGCTGTAATAGAAAAAAATTAAATAAAAAAAAAAATGTCAAAAAATATAATAAAATAATGATCAATTTATCAAATAGCTTGGTACTTCTCAAATTTAACTATAGAAAACAAATTGTTAATGGAAAGCCCTAACATTTACTATTTTTACTGTTATGTAATAAAGTGCTCATTAGTTGTTCAAGGAGTTTTTGATTTGTTTCAATTACAGTTTTCAATTGCCTAACTTCTTTATTTAAATGTTCAATTTGTTCAGTACTCTTTTCGATTTTACTATGTAACAAGGGCAAAGTACAGTCTAAAATTTCAGAATTTACATCTAAATTATTATTCATAAGTTTTTTTGAGTATGTCATTCCGACTTGTGAAGAAATTGTATGCCCGTAATTTTTACGTTGCTTAGCAATTTCATGAGCAGCTTTTAGAATGTCCTTTGGTAATCTCTTTTCTCTAGGATTTAAAGGTTTTACATTTAAAACGACTCTGTACGCTTTAGGCGATACTAAAGCTGTCCAATGCAGCAAATTTAATAAATACTGGGGTAAATAACCGTTAAACAAAGCTAGTTCCATGTAAGAAATCAATTTAGTTTGCCTAACTAATTTTGACAAACCCGCCGTTTTCTGCAAGCCTTGTATATCGTGAACAGCTATACCTACTAAAAGATTCATTAAAATTACTGTCACAAATAGTAAAAATAAAATATATGTTACTTGAGCACTAATCTCAAGTAAAAATGGTGGATCTTCGGGATCATCATCAACTAAAAGATCCAAACTTAATTCTCCGGTCATCATAACTAATACAGTTATTAAGCCAATAAACGGGTTTGCAAAAGTTGAGGAATCCGGAAACATAACACAAAAACTAATTGTAAAACCAATAAGTAGACACGAATAAGCTAGTAGTAATTTTGCAAACTCTCCTTGTACTCTTGTGTACATAGCAACGTACGAACCGAATATCGGAAGTTGTCCAATCATTAACATCAAATTGGTCCATCCAAATAGCACCGCAAAGGCACCAACGTGATTTTGCCATGTATATGTTCTGCCGGTATAAATAAATGAAATAACAAAAACGCTTGCAATCACTGTCCATTCAATTATATTCTCGGGGTGGGAAAGATATTGTTTAACAGAAGGATATCCCGCGATACCATAAACCTTTCTTAGAATTTCACAACACGTTATCCCCACTAAAACAAACCATTGCATTTCTATAACAAACGGATTGTTCCTTAACATGTGTCCCATCATGGATTTCTTTTCACACAATTCAATCACATTTTGAGGTTGAGTATCATTCATATTCTTGCCATGATTGTAACAATTATGTGCCAATGCTGTCAACACATAAAGAGACAAACTTAAAACAAATATAAAACAAAACAGCATTCTAGCGATATAATACTTCCTTATTTTCTCCCATTTCAGATAAAGGAATGCAGAGCATAACGGATGTAGAAGAATTTCTTTTTGCCCTTCGTCAACAAAAGTATTTAAAAAGCTTATCTCTCTAGGATGACAGTATTGTAGGATTCCTCTAAAGTCCAATCTTAACTCCACTTCTCTATTTGATGATTCCGGATGATGATGTAATGTTATCGCTGAATCTAATTTTTGCGTTACCATCGCCAACGAAGCCGGTGTTTTTCTTGTAATTATACCCAAGGCTGTCATGCCAAATTTTGATTTAGCTGTAACATCAGCACCATGAAATAATAAAACTTCTACGCACTGTGATAATTCATTTAAAGCTGCTATGTGTAAAGGCGAATAACCGTATTGATCTTTAGCATTAATATCGGCACCATAATTAATAAGACATTCTATAATATCATAAGACCGAGCTGCTTTCCCCACAGCGCAATGTAAAGGTGTTCTTTTATCACAGTCGCCCGTTTTAGGATTAGCATTTCCTTTTCTTAGAAGCAACTCTACGCAGTCGTATGCTTGCGCACGTGCTGCTAAATGCAACGGGGACTGCGCTCTTTGATTCCTTATATTAGCATCAGCACCGTGGTCTAAAAGAATTTCTATACATTCAGCATAGCCACTTTCAGCTGCTAAATGCAAAGGAGTTTGTTCTTTATCTTTACTTCGTGAATTTATATTAAATGTTTTGGGTTCGAGTAATATTCTTAAGCAATGAGGATGGCCTAAATCGGCGGACAAATGAATTGGCGATATACCAGATGGTTCCACTTGCGCAACGTCTGCTCCTTCTTGTGTAAATAATTTGACGCATGCAATTGCGTTCGCTCTGACCGCGCAATGTAAAACACTCTCATGGCAATTATGCGGGCTGTTAGTACGCATTTGAACTTTAGCACCATTGTTAAGAAGAATCATTGCAGTATCTGGACTATCACCGAATGCTGCACAATGCAAAGGACTATAGCATTTGAATAAAGCGTTCACGTCACTACCTTTCGAGATAAGATAATTAGTACCTTGCGTGCAACCACTGAACGAAGCCAGATGTATTGCACTTAAACCCTGGCTTGGTTCGAAATAATGAAGCTGCCCACCCAGTTTTATAAGTCCATCAAGAAGATCGTGTCTTTTCATAAAAGCAGACCACAAAAATGCAATATTAATCTCCGCCTTGGAAGCACCTTGAAAATGATCCTTCAAATTATCCGGTTGAATTTTTTTGTTTTCTATATCATCCAATAGTTGATGTCTCCCTGAAGATAATTTCAAATGTTCTAACAAATTCGTTTTGATCGTATCGTGACATATTTGCACCGTTAAATCAGCACTGGTAGAAAATTCTTCGAAACTTTCGTAAATATTCGGAGTATGATCAGCTGGAGGAGAGGGGCCACATTCCATGTATTCGAAATCGTCAGAGGGCAGTTCTTCTTCAAAAATGTTTTCCGGATCGTCCCTGGTTTTCCTCCATCTCGAAATTGTACTAGAAGTAGGGGTCCTATACCGTTGGAAGCTGGTTACGTCAGCGTTCACGCTTACAGATCGGCCCAATCGTTTTGAATTACCATTGGAATTTTCGTATCCATAGTTATCCATCCCGAAGGACGTATGATTGTCAGAAGCGGATACCATTTCACTGAAAACAAAAAAAGGACATTACTACAAATTCAAATTACTAAGAATCTGTTGTTAATAATGCATATTGCGCAATGTGTTGTAAAAACATATCAAATTTGCGTTTTCCTAGTGTTTTTTTTTTTGTTTTCGTCGACGTATTTGAGTGATTTTTTTGTTTCTGTGTTTTTATAAATTTTTATTTTTTTTATTATTATGTATGGCTGTGTCTTCTTTTTCATATTTTTCTTTTATATTACACCTGTTTATTTTTTAAAAATTTATTTTAACTTTCTTGTTTTTTTATTTTTGTTTTGTCTTTTTTGTTGGGTTATTTTATTTATTAGATACTTGTTATGACAACTTAAGTATCAGTTCTGTGAAATGAGTTAGTGACATTGTTAGGATTACTACTAAAGTTATTATTGTTACTTTTATCTAACTGATTTAGACATGTGGGTATTTTTATTATTAGCAAATCGTTTAATAATTCCATCCGCTTTTATATTCGTTGTTTATCAAGATATCGGAATGAAAACTTTTTTGTTTAAAAGCTTATTACAAAAACTTTCATGTACTGGATCCAATTGGTCTGTGACGCCATAGCTTACTTCCGATTTTCCCGGATATAACTAAAAATCGCGATTTATTATTTTTTTTAAATCGAAACCCCTTCTTTATTGAAAATTTGAATTTAAGGGTCATTTATGGATAAGAATCGTGTGTTGAAAATTTTCTGTCAGCTGTCAAAATGACCGTCATATTGGATAATATTTGTTTTAATATGTTACTGACAAAAAATTTTCAATACAAGCAGTAACTGATTCACTGGTACTACATAGTTTTTGCCACTATAGAGTAACAATAAAATGATATTTTCCAGTTACAGTAACTGCCTAAATGTTACTATGACTATATTCTGGAATCTGTTTACCTATCTAAATACCTAATTACTTTATTTAGGCATATTGCATGTAAATGGCACAGGTGGATGGCAGTAATTGATTCACTGGTACTATATGTATACATAGTTTTTGGCAATAATATCCTTGTCGACACCCTTCGTCACGTCCGGCACCACCTAACTAATTCTACCATATATCTTTCCCAATGCAGTACCGTATTAAATACCTTCCTTTCCACCACGAAGCTCAACGCTGCGACGTACCTAAATCGACGCCGTCACAACGCTAGATGAAATTAGTACATAATCTAATGTTTGTATTTTCAATGGTGAGTCAAAAGATTTATATAACTTTCTTTGAGATGTCACCGGAGTCTCGTTTAAACGTAGGGCCTAGCATGTTCTTTAAAATATTATCAACCACATGGTCTTCAGGTCATACACCCCAAAAGACAGTTAGGATAACATCTGTTTTCGATGGGTGCATTTTCAGTATTTCAATAGAAATTATAAAAATCAATATTAAGAAATATTCAGGGTTGTATTAAGTAATTTCAATAGAAATTATAAAAATCAATATTAAGAAATATACAGGGTCATATTGAGTCATTTCAATAGAAATTATAAAAATTAATATTTTAAAAATATACAGGGATCTGCTATCTTGGATAAATTGTACAAACCAATATGGCAAAATTTAACAGTAGGTTAACCAATTGGTGAATACACTGTTCGTTAGCTCAAGGGTGAACACGTACATGCTAAGCAACCCGTTCTACTAGGTTTGAAACAAAGTATATGTGAAATCAACATAGTAAAGTAACCAACTAGCGAATTGGCGCTGTTCGTTACTTCCGTTGGTCATCACCTCTATACTCATCGAAATATTTACCTAAGAGGGTGCAACCTATGTATATCTAGAATAGAATCAAATCAACATCAACACAGTAGTTAACCAACTGGAAAATTGGCGCTGTTCGTTAACTCCGTTGGCCATCAACCTAAATAAGAATATAAACATAAGCACAGTAGTTAACCAACTGGCGAATTGACGCTGTTCTTTAACTTCTTCGGTCATCAACCTAAATAAAATATATATTGATAGCAAATGAATGTGGTCTGCGTTTGAACGGGACTCAAGTGAGATCTCAGTAAATAGTATCAATTGTAACATATTTTGCTAATTATTGCATCACATTTAAAGTATGAAAAATAAAAGAGTTTAAATATAAATTTGTCTGCTTTTATTTATTAATTTGCACCAAATTTTGCATCGAATCCTGGTTTACTTTAATTAACATTATCACAACGTGGGTATATAAATTATCAATCAGTAATTAACTAGACGATCACTTTTACTACTAGAGGAAAAAGACCAATTACAGTAAGTATAGAATTTAAAGTAAAATAAACTTGTGAGGTAAATAATAACGTTTCAAAAAGTAAAATAACGAACAAAATAGGGGGTACGGGGGTGGGCCGTTACAGACCTTTTACAGACACTCTGTATAATATTCTTTAATTATTTCATTTAGAAATTATACATCGTTTAAACTAGGTAGTTTAAAGGTTCCCATTCAATTACTTTTACTTTGTGGTACACTTTGTACCGTTAAGTAGATCACAATAAAAACAAATAGTAAATAAAACAAGTTTTTATAATTATATAGTCATCAACATTCTATTTACATAATTATAAACATTGTTGTTTATTGATATTATTTCTTAAATCAAATTGAATTGGCAATTGCAATATTTATTTATTTCCTTTTAGCAAATTAGGTCGTTTGAAAACTTGGCCTTTTAACGAATCCTAATATATCACTTTTTACCTATAAAATTAATGATTTTTTATCTATATGTACCTACCTAATTATCCTCTTAAAATTTATGTACAAAAACTAAATTAATTAAAGCACGTTTTATCAATAATAAAGAATGCTGTCCAAAGCACAAATAGGCCACAATTATTTATTATTAATTAGTAGATGTACGGTCAAAACTGTATGCATGGCCATTAATAAGATAAATGGGTAATATTTTTACTTGCTGATTCTATAGCGAAAAAAATATATACTTTTTATTAAATGGCATCAAATATTATGCCGTAGTCTGTTAAACTGAGAGAATAGCCACATCTAAACGGTTTATCTGAAAATTATTATCTAAAACAGTGAAAAAATTACCTGTGATATTTAATTTTTTTATTTGGTACAATAAATGTACAATAATTTCAGATAAAAAAAAGTTCTGGAAAGCGGCAGCTGTCTCAAGTTTAAAATATTTAAATGTTTAACTGATCCAGGTAATTGGTTTTGTTTAGTGCGGTTCATATGAACAATACATCTATTCTAGTTAAAAAGTTAACTAATTTACGTGTAATTAACTTTTTTAAATTTTTTTACTGTTGTACAATATGAAAGATCAAAGTTAGCCCCGAGATATGACACATATATTTTGATTTAAAGCAACTTTTCTAAATAACTTTTTAACGTAACTGTAAAAGCTATCTTGACAAAATAAATGAAAAATCATAGTTGGTCGAGAATTTTAAAATTTGATATATGGACCTAGATAGTGATTCTAAACAACTTTTCTTAATACCTTTTGGTCATATCCGCAACATAAAAGGGAAATAGGTTTTTTGAAAATTTCCAAGACATCCTTGAGTTTTCAAAACTGAAATTATTTTGGGCTGAATCCCAAAAAACTAAAATTTAAATCGGTAATTTTGTCCCATTTTCATCTGGGGACTGGGACTAGAAGCGGCGCAAGGTGTGAGCGAAGTGGGCCACCGCCTACGGTCTCGCGGCCTGAAGGGCCTCGCGCTTCAAAGGTTTAATGCAGCTTTCTTTAACTTATGAAAAATATTTATTTTGTTTCCTTTTCACATCTGACCTATATGTAAGCAAAAATCATATAAGAGAATGTTAACTTTCAAACACTCTGTATTTTAACTATAATATAAAAAACAACGAATAACGAATTATTTTAAATAAGAAAGAATCCCAAATTCTAAACATTATCAAAATCTGTTTTTTGTTCCAATATATGTCTCTCGAAGCGGCGCTGTAGTGAAATAACAAATAGGTAATATCGTTTTTCTACACCCACATGGATATTATCTTATCTACGCTCAGATTACAAAACGAAAAAGTATGCTATTGCGTTCAACTGAACGAATATATTTCATATCCATTCTAGGTAGTGAGAACACTGCAAAAAATAAAATCCACCGATCACAGTTCATATTTTGGACACCAACCACTATTATTTTTAAAATTTAAATAAGTGATAATTCTGTCAAACTAATTGTCAGTATATTTTTTTGTTATTGAGATTAAATATAGATTAAAACGAAAGTTATTTTTGTGTAGAAACGATAAATAATGGCATTTTTATTTTTACATGGTTAACATTTTGAAAATGTTTATCAAACTTCATGAAACTAATTTAATTACGAGGATTAAAACTAAAATCACAAAAGTGAGCTATGGGCAGAGCATCTGCCTTCCACGCGAATAGCCCAGGTTCGAATTTGGGTTTAGGACAATTTTTTTAAGTCAGTTTATTTTATTTTATTTTATAAATTAATAAAATTCATAAATTATTTTAAAATTAATTATTTTGTCTTAATAACCTAAAATAATTTTTTAAATTTGTAGATTTTTGTTAGTGGGCCGTAGAAAAAACATACTGTACCACTCAGTGGATTATCCAACTGTCCTTTTGTTGCAAAATCTACAATTTTTACTAAATTGGTAGAATCCTGTAAATGACCATATATTCGCTTATTTTGTTTTCTGTTTGTATAAACAGATTTTGATGTGAGAATGAGGTCCATTGACTGAAAGGGATACATATTAAATAAAAAGTAAACCGGTCCATTGAACTAAAATAAGTAAAAAAAATGGTTCTATGGTTAGAACCTTTAAAAGTTTTGCTCGTTAAAGTGAAATATTTAAACGAAAATGCACATATAGTGTGTCAATTTAAAACTTCTCTTTGGCACTCGTTCTATGCAAGAATATTAAAAATAAACTATGTGCTTTATTTATAAAACAATATAATTATATTAAAAACTAAAAATCGAATTATTATATTTAACAGAACGTTCTGATTTCTTTTATTTTATTT